AGTTATAACACTGAAATTAGTTTCTATTATATAATCTTTGATACGTGTGATAAATCCTACAATTTCTCCATCATTAATTCTATTTAGAATGTTGTTTGTGTTATTAATGTCACTCGGAACAAATGGTGCTTGTTTCTTGCAAACAATTTGCGCGTGCGCGCTACAGTCTCTTTTAGTACAAATCCTCACTCATAGGCAGCGTCACAAGATAGCTTGTGTAGGGAATAGGAGATAATGTTTGCAGCTACGAAGCCGTGTTTTAGGTGATCAGTACAGTAACACACGCTAAAAGGATGAATGATACTATTTATTTTAAGATACACACATGTTGTTCACTGACGTTGAATAGGAACCATTTTTACTGACCATTGTCTACTGGCTACTGACGCCACGCGAGGCGTAGCGTCGCTTTTTCATAGGGCGCGTCCACACGATGCCCTAGCTTAAGGCGCGTTTCTATTATTGCCCTAATTTCAGGCGCGTTTACACGATGCCGCGTGATGACGTCGTGTGTCCACACTTGGGATTTTCGGGGCGCCATCTACCCGCCGGGATTGGAACTAAAATTTTACTATAGTATATGCTTGACATACCCCCACCACGTCCTCCGCACCTCTATACCTATCTACACTCAACGATATAACTTCCCGATCAGGAGGGCGGCCGTACCCCAGTGGATAGGGTAGTGGATTCACGACCGAAAGGTTGGAGGTTCGCGCCCAGCTTCCAGCGGCATTCACCAATGGGTTTTCATATGAAAACTTAAGTGAGTATTTATACGGATTTCGCCCAACACTGTTCGGATTCGGTGTATAAACTTTGTACGTCCCCTCACGCTGAGTTGAATAAGGCCCGTCTCGCAAGGTACATCGCCATCTATTGTCGAACTTCCAACCTTGATTATTAGGACCAGTTACTGGCACATGTCCCCAATTGGGGATACAGTCATAAGGAAAGGAAAGAAGGAACTTCCCTATCAGATGGTGCAGCGGTGGCGTGCGCATGCGCATCAATGCGCAGTCGCTAATTTGCAGAAAATAAGGATGTGTGTATTCACGTCTCTGTGCGTCACTGTCTTCCGATTTGGCGACAGCTTTGAGTCTACGATTTTACGCTGGTGAATTTTGAAGTGTGTTCAGTGCAATTACAGTGCAGAGTTTTATCTTTGAGTGTGACTGTGTTCAACATCCAGACTATTTATTTAGTGGAACGTTTGTGGACGACGATTTGCAAGAATTGCGACAACGAGACGAAGGCTACACGACTCGTCTTTTCAGGCTAACCCTATTTCATACTTTCTAACTTTTCTATTTTTATTTGTCTATTCTGTTTTATTTCCTCTTATTCTTCTTCTACTTTCATATCTTAGAGCTTTGTAATGCCTCCTTCGAAGAAAGACTTTTCCTCTTCTTTTTCTTGGTTGTACATCTGTGTGCCTACAAGTGGGATCTCACTGCTTCCCAAAAGACTTGGACCTATCGAAGGCCATAGCTTTTAAATAAAAATTAGTATTTGTGTAAACTACATTTTTCCTTGAAAGTCTATATACCTTGTACTGCGAAGGCAATACTAAGGAAAAATGTAGTACCATTATTGCGTCTGCTAATGATTTTAATGTAAGTGTTACTATAAGTGCGACTGTAGTAACAGATCTTATTTTTATTCAATAAATAACTTTTTATACCATACATAATTATGCATTTATTTTATTTCAGGTACTTGCAATTATGGCAAAATGAGACTCAATCGTTTAAGCATATTAGTTGTGCATATTTTCTCTTGCACCACATATTAACGTTTTAGGATGTTTACGACGGTCATACTTGTTTTTCATAGTTGCAGGTGCTTTTAAAAATACCTTAAAAACCTTTCAGGGCGATGAGTATAGAACGGTGAGTATATATACGTGTATACCTATATACAGGGTGTCCCATTTGAAACAGTACGGTTGAATATCTGTTTAAGGAAGAGCGAGACAGCAAAATGTGTCAGACGAAAGCTGTAGGGTACAAAGGGGGAAATTCAGTGCAAACAGAATTTATGCTACTACTATTTATGCTTCTATGTTGCAAGCATAAATCCAGTTAGTAATGAAGTTATGTTTTAAGGGAAATTATGTATTACTACTTTTAATGTAGTATACTTGACTCCATACACTTAATGAAGGTAAAATAACTTATTTCTTCGTATTTTCATACGACTAGCTAACATAAAAAGGCAGAAAATGTATTTTCACAGCTAAGATTCCGCTGCTCGCTTCTCGCTTCCCGCTGCTTTCGGTCTGAATGTGCCCTTAGAGTCCCTCTAGTCAGAGTCCGGCTAACACCCGGAAAGGTCGCCATGTTTAGGACTCGTTTGGTGCTGCCATGACATTGCGCGCGGATTTTCAAACTATCAATCTTTACCATCAAG